GCCCAGTCCTTGGAAAACCAGAACTGTCAGTAACCCTGTGGAAGGGAGGGACAGAAGCAGGGTTGATTGAAGAGGTCAAGCTGCAGTGCAGGCCCAGTGGCCTCAGTGAACCCCATGGAGAAAGAATTCTGGAATGAAATTGACCCATCAGACATGTCTAGCATCAGGCTGAAATGGCCAGCCCTTTATACACCTGCTTCCTCAGTCATTGGATGTGGGCTGCCCTGGGAAGGGTGTGGCCTTGGGTGAGCAACTCTGTAGCTGAGAGGACCCCTGAATGGGATTGACAGCTAAGGACTGCTGACAGCTCTCCCAGGAGCTGGAGCAACAAGTCCTGCCATGAAAAGGGATTTGGCTGGTGCATTCTTGCATCCAGTGTAAATGTATACAGACATATTCTTCCATTTGCATCTGTAGAAGGATGCATAAGACATTGGTAAGTGGCTGCCTTCAAAGAGAAAGTAGGTGATCAGAACAGAGTGGGAAAAAAATTTCTCTAAGGAGATACTCCTTTGCATATTTTGAATTTAAATGTGAATTTAAGTTGAACAATCTACTTAATAAATAATCATGGAAATAAATGAAGAAATCATTGAGAACCTAAGGATATAAACTATATTTTAAACATTCTTTTGACAAATATTTATTGAGTACCTATTATGTGCCAGGACACTGAAGATTCAAAAATAAAAATAGACGAAACCTGTTATTGATCCAAAAGTCTACCACACCCCTTTTAAACCAAATGGGTAAAAATACTTAAAGTCTACCAAGTTTATGCTTTTATCTTTCAATCTAAACCAATGCAGCCAGACGGGTAGAATGAGATGAATAGTAATTTTAACTAACTGATTTGGTTTGGAATTTCCTCCTGATTTTAATCAAAATCTAAATAGTATATCTACCAACACAGGGCTTTACAACATTCATACTGTTTTGACCTTAACTTTACCCTCCAACATTAATGCCTATATTTCTACTTCTTTCTTTGCCTCCCCCCCAAGTCATCTTATTATGTAAATTTTCACCTGGTCCTCAATCTTTTTTACAATGAAATATAAATGCTCTAAGATCACATGTATGTTTCTAAAAAATCCACGCTGTGCTAAAAATAATAATGCATATGGGGTTGACAAGGCCAAAATATTTATGGGACTATGTGACCAGAAGAGCAATAAAAACAATATTACTAATAAGTGCCAACACAGTTAGCTCTCTTCCAGTGTTTGCTCCCACCATCACTGTTAAGTACTTATTCCCTTACGGTTCCAGCTGAAGCCTTCAGTAACACGTTGTTTTATATAGTGGGGGGAGGGAGCTGTCTTCTTAGTGTCCTCACCCAAGCCTGTTCCCGGCAGCTCGACACAGTGAAAACACTGAGGGCTTGCAAAATTACTACATCCGTCTACTTATTTACTTATTGCAATAAAGTGCAAACGTCTGCAGATTTTCGGCTTTCCTCCCAAGGTTTTCCGATTTTCTCAGCTTTCTCAATTGTGAGAGCTTGCCCTGAGGGCTCGAACACTATGTGCCGAGAAGGGTTGTGCATGAATCTACGCAATTTTCAGTGAGCAACTTTCAGTGATGCCCATATACCGGCATCATGCATCTATTTACCAATTCTGTGTGAAGTGCCTAAAAGACTGTGGTCTCATCAACATTAATGTGAGTTAGCCTTTTGTTTCATGTAATTGCATAGCATCTATTAGTCAGGCATTGTTATCAGTTAAGACTGTTAGGAAAGAACCCATCTCAAAACAAGTCTAAAAAGAAAGTGTATTTGTTCATCCCTTCTGACTCAAAAGGCTGAAGGTGACTCCACTGGCCCGAACAAATCCAGGTACTGAAACTTCCGTCCCGATAGATAGTTCTCTATTAGAACTCTATTTCTGTAGCTGCGTTTCTGCTTCTCCTTGTGTTGGTTTCATTCCCTTCAACAGGAGACAGCTTTTCTGTGCCTGGCAGAGTGGAAGAAGGCCCTGACCGCTCTCTTGAGTCAGGGACCTCATTCTTGGAACCATCCTGTGGGCACGGGACGGGTGTGCCATGCTTGGCCACCCTGGGTCATGTGTTCATGCTTGCTCCAGAGGGCAGGCTGGACATTGTGATTGACAGCTATGCCAGAACTTCATAGAATAAATAGGGAGTTGGGTGAAAGCAGGTTCAATGAATGAGAATTGGGCAGACTCCAACCACAGTTTATTACCACTACATAATACCAATGCCTGGGTACTGAGGATAAAAGAAAATCAACTTCAATTAGGAATTAAAAGATCCTTAGGAAATAGCCTAAAAATGAAAGGAAGTTTAAGTGTTTCTCCTCAAGGTCAATGGACAAATGTTCAAAGTGCTAATATGCTGAGAATATAGGAGTCAGGAGAGAAAGTATGTCAAGGCAGAAGAATAAAAGTAAAAAACAAAAGATATATGTTTAAATAAAAATAAAGAGAAACAAACAAAAGGCAAAGGAGAAAAAAATAATAAAGCAATGAATAAAATCTCCCAAATTATGAATGGGTGGGCAGAAGGAACTGAAGGAAAACAAGTAGGAAAACCTCAGTCCCAGGGTGTGAAAGCTTTAAGAAAGATTACGAGCGATAACAGATGCGTTAATGTAACGTGGATTTGGTTTCCAGTAAAGTTTTTATTTCCTATTGGAACTATAGGTGGTGATTTGTTTCTTAAGTAAATAAGAAAAATGCCTGAAGACGATGTGAATGACATTGAATGATTAAAGATTAACAGCGAGAGGTAGTTAAGGCCTGGGTTAAAATCACACTTTTTTGTAAGCTTGGTGAGTCAGAATCATTGTAAATGCTAAAAGGCAATTCTTATGAAGTTACCTGGGGCAAAAGTAGTATCTTTCACAATGCCAGCTTTCACAAGGTTTCAACAATGTCATTTGAGGCTGGGGAGGGAAATCAGCAACTCGAAGTGAGTGGATAAAAAGAGGCAAAGGAGAAAATGACAATAGGTTCTGAAAGTCAGGAAAATGCAGGAAAGAAGTCTTTTTTCAAAGAATTGCTATAAAAAGCACACATGGACTGCTGATATGACATGAATGAATATAGATCAAAATGAGTTAATTCATTCCACTGTGTGATAAGATCACTACTTAGAGATGCCAAGCAACTAAATGGACTGCAATAATTGCTAAACACAAGAGAATTTAAAGGGCAGAATTATACTTGACATCCTGTAAAAGGAATGGCTTGGAAAGTGCCATTGCAAAGTGACTTAGGTGCAAAGCCCTTAGAGGTTTGAATTTAAAACAGAATCAACACATTTCTAAGTTTCATGAGACAGCTATCAGGATTCTCATATCCTTGAAGAACTAGAACCAAGTGAAAAGGCAGGAATGTGCAGGCTTATCGGTGTGTGTAAGTTCATTCTTAAGAATTGTAGAGGGGAGTGAGGTAGGCAAGTAATTGCTTCTTTAATAATATCCTAATATTCTAACATTGGATGTTAATCACCTCTATAATATTAAAATGTTTTATGAAACAAATTGTAGTTTTAGTAAAATGCCAGAAAGCATATACCTGAAATTTATATAAAGAATGGAAATTGATAAAGCAACCTGAAAATGTCCCTGTATAGATTATCTTGAATAATTTAAGAATTAACCAATCAAATGCATAGACCTACATTTGCTGAGCGATATTTGTTCATCCAGAATTTAGAGCCAAAGGCCTGGGACAAACTCCCACCTCCACCACTCACAGGCATTGGGCAAGTTAATCTTTCTGAGCCTATGTTTTCATTTATAACATGGGGGTTAATTTAAAAAAATTTTTGATTTTCTGGTACTTTTGGCACAGGGTTATAGAAATTGAGAAAACACTGCCCCCTGATCTGGAGTATTATGCTCAGTGAAATAAGCCAATCAGAGAAAGACAAATACCACAGGATCTCACTTATCTGTGGAATATAATGAACAAAATAAACTGATGAACAAAATAGACCCAGAGACATAGAAAGGAGTACATACAGTTCAGACTGACAAACCTCAGAGGAGGGGGTGGGGGGGATGATATAAACCAAAGAATATACGTGTATGTGTAACCGAGGACATAGACAACAATGCTGGGGCGGGGGGGGGGGGGGGGGGATCCAGAGGAGGGTGTCTGGGGCAGGGGGGAAGGAGAAACATCTGTAACAAAAATAAATTAATAAAAATTGAAAAAAAAAAGAAATTAAAAAAACAAAAACACTGCCCCCTGGTTCACCAAATGCTTATATTTGTTGGCAGATGGTGATAACATTAGAATCACAGGATTGTTGAGAAGTTGATGAGAAGAGTGAAAAGTTTTTCTTTCTTTCTATATTTATTTAATAATCCTATTCTTCCCAATCCCATCCTTTTCAGTGTAATATACTGATTTGTTTATGTATAACTTCTCTGAATTCTGTCCTAAACAGAGATTTATGGCTTTTCCAAACCTATTCCATTAACCACCATGACCAATTATGTCCACAATATAAAAGCAGGACATTCATTCTTCCCAGCCTCAGTTCTCTCCCAATGGTATTGGGAGGTGAGGCAGACATTCCATTTTACTTGTTCTAGCCATCGGCTTTAGTATTGCTGGGAGGCCAAGAAACATGCATTCAACGTCTATTGACATCTTACTATCCTAGATTTGTAGCTTCCGTTTGGAGAGTAGATTCCCCACCCAGGAACATTCAGTGCCCGGGGGATGTCTACTCCATTTTCTTGCCCTTGTATCCTTACTGTGGTGTCTTTTAGATCATTTGAATCAACTGATAAGCTTACAGATGGTCATCAGTGCTTCAACTAGGGAGCCTTACATCTGACACCAACACAACTGCCCGCTTCCAGAGAGTACTTGTTACACCAATAATTGTTTCCTTGGGATAGGGTCTTTTGCTTTTCACCCAGTTTTTATAAAATAATACAAGCCTCAATGAACACAAAATTACACACACACACACACACACACACACACACACAATCTTATGTTCAGAACATGGGAAAGAAAGGTTTATTAATTCAAAAGTTCCATTATGCATGAGAAAAGAGAAGGAATCTTAGCTAACTAGTGAGTTCCAATCACAATATTGAATCATGTGAAAGTTAAAAGGATTCTACACGAGGACAGCATCTCTTTTTCCTTAATTATATTGAACGTCATGGATACAATTAAGCCCGAAAACAACAGAAAAATTTATGAGTGACTTTAAAACACATTGTTTTAATAGTAGATAAATGGTCGATTATATGGCTTCATCCACAGCCTCAAGATAGAAAAAAAGTATAATTAATTGAGGGCCATAGATAAACACTTACTACAAATGAATGAAACTAGGTTACATTCACAAATCACATATATAGTACTGTACTTTATGGGTGATTTAAAGGATTTTTTATGGTAATTATGGCTATTGAAAAATTTCACGTAACTTTTAACCAAGGGTACATATATTTGCAAAGATGTGGCCTTCACTGCAATAAAAAACAGTATCAAGTAGGAAGTATAAGGTACTTAGTAAAATTATAAGTAAAAAAAAAAACCAGAATTCCATATTTATACTTAAAAGGGTAAAAATTAATCATACAGATCAATAATAAATGGAAACCTAATGCATCATCAATAAATGGTCTCCAAAGAAATTTGGAGTCAGTAAAGCAAAGATGCTCCCTCTTCAACACATTAGGAGTTCTGTTGCAGCACTAAGTCCCGAGTGCCTGCTTCGGAAGCCACGGATGCTTTGAGGACGTTTTCTTTACACCCACAGAATGACTAGTGTCACGATGAAGACATAAAGTTGTTACTGCAGGATAGTGCGGAGGGCTTACTGAGTGACATCGGTAAACATTTTACTTGGGTAATATAACTTCTGAACTTCATCTTGTTCATCTGTAAAATGGGGGTGATAACACCTTCAAGGGTTATTATGAGAACTGGATGTAATGTACTGTATTTAAAGGTCCTTACTATAATGCGTGGGTTCCTAAAAAAGAGAGACATATACGATGACTACAATTACACCTGGCCCGTGCTAGGTGCCATTCCAGTGACATGAATACCCTCTTTACCTTTAACTACTTCTAAATCAGCAAGTCTCAATAACAATCGAATTGGAGATTAATACAGCATTTATAATAAAAATTGGCTTGCTTATTCTCTGGTTTCTAGATTCCAATAATAAAAAAGTTACAGAAATTTAAATAAGGAGAAAGTAAATAGAGGAAAGCTATATCTATTTTTCCTTAAATCAGGTTTAATTTTCAGAAAATATACTTCCAAACAATAAAATTACCCAAATAGAAACTTTGAAAGACAGGAGTACTGCTTATAACTTTTAATCCCATAAAAACACCTATTTCAGTGATTATCATCCAAAACGTGATGATTCAGGATTAGAGATGCAGATCAGTGAAATGAAAACCAAATCCTCCCCCTCTTGTAGCCATGTTTCAAAGCACTGTGGTGGGAGAATGTGAACTGCTTCTTGCAAGGTGCTATCAATGTTACCAGCCCCACATCCGACCAATTGACCAGAATTGATGAGACGGCAGGTTTCTTCATCGAAAGGGAAATAGTTGAGCACACTGAAATATAAGATGAAACTCTCCTTAAGGTTCTGACCTTACTTTTCTGATTGTTTGGAACACTCTGGGGACTGTATTATTTTGAGGTACCTCTAAAAATAGAGCCAGGTGAGACCAAACGGCTCTAAGATCATTTGAGAAACAAATGACAGACTCTTAACTAAAATATGTTAATCCCTTATTCAATCTGAGAATGGAATGTCCTGCACTGGATGAAATAAGTGTTTGATCTAGATCTCTTACCAGTTTAATCCTCCATTCATAACATTTCTCCTTATTTAAAGAAGTAGGGATAATTGAGAGAACAAGTCACCAGGGCATGGGAACAATGCCCGCCGCCCCTTCCACAAATCCGCACTGAACTCCCACATGCCAGACGCTGAGAATAAGCCCCAGCCCCCCACCCTCCAGCTCTGTCTGTATTCACCTTTGGACCTCAGCTCCTGGCAATCACGTTGCGGGATCATATTCTTCTGAATAACTAAGTAGCAGATGCACTTTTGCCAGCTTTTCCCCACCTTTAAATCAAGTTTTGTAAACCCTTTCTGCATTTGCAGTGGTGAAGGAACATACAAAGATGCACTCTGCTGTTGTGTCGTTAACACGACTGTTCTTTCACCTACGTTATCTCATTCATTAGCTCCATTTTAACAATGAGGAAAGTGAGGTTCAGCAGAAGTGACCACAACTATTCTGCCCTGGTAGAAGAACCTCAACGAAGAACCCAGAAAACAGGATTTGCTGAGGGGCTTAGAAAATGTCAGGGTTTCTCTTAGTTACAGTGAACAAAACAGAGGTCTGTCTCGAGAGGTTTTGGCATAAACATTCAGAAAATGTTTTGGGGTGAGGAGAGTAGTGGCTGATAGAGAAGAAAAATCAACAGCACTGTTCTAGGCATTGGCAGGTTCAAGGTGCCAATCACACATCCAAATGGTGAGAAGTAGGAGGTGGAGAGAGACGTCTGGAATGCAGAGAGGTCTGGGCTGGAGATAAAACCTGTGAGGCATTAGCATATAGGTGCTATTTAAAGCTATGACATTGCATAAGATTTCCTAGAGAAAAAGTATAGGTGAAGACCAACATTGCGAAGTCTGATAGAGGACAAAAATTCAAGAAAAGAATCACAAACGCATAAAAAATCTATCGGTCTGGTGTCACGGAAGCCTGGAGAAAAACCTTTGAAGGAAGGAGCGATCACTAGGAATGCCACTGTAAAGTCATGAAGTTTTGGCAAAAACAAGAAAGTATTCATTCCATAATTAAGTGAAAATTTCCCAATGAATCCTATTATCACCAGCAACTTCAAAGAATAAGAATTCTCTGGGTGTGTATATAAAAAGAAGAATTAATTTAAAGGGAAGTATTGTGCTGTTAAGGATTTGAAAATAAACAAAAACATTCCTTATAAAGTTGCTATTCTACTGCATTGTCATTTAAAATTACAAGAACTTAAGCAAATATCATCCAATGTCAGAAGAGATTCAGGGTGATCATCTGTAGTATTTAGTAACAAATTAACGGCAACATGACAATTTATAATTAGTTTAAAAAAATAGTCAGTTTTCATTTATGTAGTAATTAAGATACGTTTTGTCTCTGTACATAAACATCCACTTGGCTTAGACAATCCCATTTTCTCCAACCGGAAGCTCTGTAGGATCCAGTCCTACCTTCTTCATGGATACGGCAATATCAAACAAATAGTCGTAACACTCACACCTACAGAAGAAAAAGCACAGAGAATGGAAGGTCTTTAGAGAAGCAGAGTTCTCCAAACCTCCTCATCACACTTCTCCTCTCCATCAAGTTAACCTTGTACTTAGCAAGGTTAGGAACTTTTCTCAATTTCAAGCTAAATTTTTCTTATTTTGCCCCCACCATCATGAAAACATGGAAAGGATGAATACTGAACCATGCAACCATATTATATACTTCTGAGGATATAAAAGGGGGTTTAAATATACACTTTTATAAATGTAAATTTCTTCCTACGTGCCACTTTTTGAAATAAATATAGCAAATCATTATATAATTTGGATTAGCTTTATTCTCCCTTCCAGCCTTAAACTCCGAGAACAATATCTATGTCTCCTTCTATGTAGCAAAGTGTAGAACTTGCCAAATAACAGCTCATCCAATATATATTTTTAATAAGTGAATACACAATGCAAATCAAATATCTGGAAATAGTAATAATCTACTTAAATTTAAATCAATTTGACCAATAACACATTGAAAAACAAATTACACTTTACTTGAAATCCTAAGAAACTTTACTCTCTTTCACATTTAAAGTGTGGTGATCTGTCCCAAATATTCTTCGCTTTATACTTACATGGTTTTAGCTTTTTCCCATGTTTCCCCCCAGACATAGACTCCATGACGTCTGACTAGTACTGCACAGGAGTCTGGGTATTCATTCATTGCACGAGCCATCCGTTCTTTGAGGTCTTTCTCCTCAGGTGTATTCTCAATAATAGGTACCACCAACATATCATCATATCTACAAGATGCAACAAGCCATTTTTACCCCATTAAAACAAAAGTATTCATATGTAAAATTTACAATTTTTTCAAACAACCTGTTAGACATCCTCTTTATATCTGGAAAGCCACTCCAAATTATGAACAAGATGTTGCATGTTATTCTTTGTATCTTGCACAAACATCTGTATCAAAAGACGCCTCAGGAATTTAGCAGGCATTACTCCAGTCCTAAGACTAAGTGGCAGAAATTTGTATAGGATACCAAAACCTAACAACGAAATGATCGAGATCATACAAGTATTTCCTTGAAGCAGAGACAATCAAAATATTTTTAATTTTATTTTTCTTTTGATTTGAGAGAGAGAAATAGAAACATCGATGAGCGAGAACATCGATTGGCCACCTCCTGCATGCCCCCACTGAGGATCGGGCCCACAACCTGGGCATGTGCCCTGACCAGAAATTGAACCGGCGACCTCTTGTCTTGGTGCATGGGTTGATGCTCAACCACTGAGCCACACCAGCCAGGCGACAATCAAAATATTTTTAACAGGAGATGGGAAACGATAGATTTCAGAATCAGAAGTAAAGGAAAGATGAACAAATGAACTACTTATTATGAAGGAATTTTTCAATGATACAAAACATTTTACAGGACCCACAGTGTCTCAGATAGACAAATAATTAAATAAAGGTGTGGTTTGTGGCACAGGGACAGCGAGAAACTTCTGAAGATCACTATTCAAGATATGATAATATTTCAGAACATTCTTAATTAAGAACTTCGTTTATTCCACCTTGTTTCAGTAAATACGTGTGATGAAATCAGAATGTGTTTTCCTTTTTGCTCATGTAATAACAGTTAAGCAAATAACTTAGTTGCTATAAAGTTTAAGTCTATCCCTGAGGTAATTTATAACCAGTCGAAACTCAAACATGTTTTCCTTTTTACATGAATTTCTCTTGCCTTAGTAATATAACATCGGCTTTTTCACTCCCTCTGTAGTGGCTCAACTTGATCAAAACGTTCTGCTGCAGCATTATCAGAAATTGCTTCTTCAGAGGAGGTACAGGCTAAGGAGCTGTCACGTGTGACTCGGCCAGCCATTACTACCGACGGTATGGAGTGGCTCATTGTTCCACTTAAGTAAAGTTGAGGTAATTATAGAATATTCTTAAATATGGAAGAAATGAATTGCTACTCCAAATCTTCCCTAATATTAGCCAGGAGAACCACAAATTTTTATTGTCCTCTAGTAAATACTAAATAGTCAGACATATTTTCAGGGGCAAAATAATTTCACAGCAAAAAAGACCCAAAAGCTCATTCAATCCAAGCCACCCACTTTAAAGCTGCAACACGAATCCTTCCAAGTTCAATGAGGAAAGAGCCAGGGCAGTCCTTGACCATCAAACAGTGTTCTTTCACTCTGCCATATGCATGCTGCTTCCGAAGGGAGGGCAGTTATATTTAAATATGGTAACTTCCCCTGATAAGAATTAGGTAGTTGAAAAAAAAAAAAAGTTTCCCCATATGGACTTTAAAAAATAGAGTAGAGAATATCAGAACTCTCCTTTCTTACTTCATCTAGCCTTCACTGTTCCTACTTTTTTTTTTTTTTTTTTTAATTTTTTTCCCCCTTGATTTTAGAGAGAGAGAGAGAGAGAAACATCGATGAGAGAGAACATTGACTGGCCGCCTACTGCATGCCCCCCACTGGGGATTGGGCCCACAACCTGGGCATGTGCCCTGACTGGGAATCGAACTGGCAACCTTTTGGTGCATGGGTCAACACTCAACCAGTGAGCCACACCGGCTGGACACTGCTCCTACTTTTGAAAACTGGACTCTAAGGATTCTCTCCAAACTCTGATCAAACATCACTCCCCTGAGCTGTAATAATGACCATGTTACTGATTTCTCAGCCAGGCTCAAACAGCATCACAAAGGGCATCTCAGAAAAGTTTGTATTCTGAAATATTCACAAGAACATACCGAATATGTGTTATAATACATAATAAATGGCATCTTTTCAAAAATTCATGTCCTTTTTCCTCCTACAAAACTCCAAAGCTCTCTATTGTGCTCTGTTCCTCTGCCCACCCTTTCACAGGTTCTTCTCGTTTTATTCCTTCACCAAAGCAATCAAATGCTGATAAAATTGATACCACACATAATGCCTTTCCTTCAGGACCCAGCTGTGGACAAGGCAACTATACTTCCTTCAGTGTGTACACTTTCTAATACAAACACTGAACTTCTGTAAATAGGTATTTCACAGCGCAGAGGAGTGCTGTGGGCACACAATACATATTAACTAAAATCAAATCAAGTTAATTTCTCAGCACACTAGTCTAAACATGTACTTTCTATTACGTGCAGCCACAGTAAGATAGTGTGGTAAGAACACTTTAGAACTGGCACCTTTTCCTCTAAACCAGGCCCTTTAGGAAATTAAGAAGGGTGAACACTCAGGAGTGAGAATGCCAATACATCCAAATGAAATGCTTAGCTTGTACCCGAGCCCCAGAACATGTTTCGTCACGTCACTATGTTCTACATGGATGAATAACTGCTACATTTTTGTGGGCTGGTGGATTTATTTGATTTTATCTAGGCCTTTGTTGTATACTATCTATGCCACTTTCTACACTGAAAAATTATAAAAATATGGAGATCTACTTAATGGAAATCATTATAAATCTCTTGTCAATAGGAATATATTCAAGAAATACAAAATCAAATGAAAACGAAGTAAAAAATTTGGTTGGGGCTGAAACTTCCTGCAGACAAAGTGAAGGTGGGAGACCTTGATCTTTGGATGCTTCAGTGTAGGGACATAATCTTTCCATCTCTACAGAGGGCTCAGCCAAGGTTTTGTCATTTGGCTCTGACAAACCATTCATTATTAATGTTGCTAATAATTCACTGAGGCTGTGGTGAAAGTTGGGAAGGCATCTGCTTTGTGTCACTAAGAACAGAGCTGGAAGTATAATATTAAGTGTGGTATTATCTAACACAGAACTCATAACATCTCATGAAATGCATTAAAAATCAGTAGCCTGCCCAGCCAGTGTGGCTCAGTTGACTGAGCACTGTCCCATGCACCAGGAGGTCGCCGGTTCCATCCTGGTCAGGGCACATGGCCAGGTGGTAGGCTGGATCCCCGGGGGGGGGGGAGTGTGTGTGCAGGAGACAGCCAATGGATGTGTCTCTCTCATCAATGTTTCTCTCTCTCTCTCTCTCCCTCTCCTTTCCTATCTCTGAAATCAATAAAGACATATTTTTAAAAAATTAGTAGCCTGTTTATCAAAAGGAAAAACGCTTTTCAAATTATTTAAGCAAAAGTAGAAAGAAATACCTGTAATACCCTCCCGAGGTACATTTCCTTATTCCTTTGATCATCTCTTGATGTGTAATTTTAAACTCCTGCCCCGGAAAGAGAAGCGTGGCCAGGACGGCAGCTTTAGAGTGGGTGTGAATCACTGCACCTGCTCCTGCAGGAGAGAAAGGCACATGCTTCGTGAAAGCTACATTTTTCCTTGTAAAACAGATACATAAATATATATTTTTTCACACAAAAATACACACACTTATATATGGACTTTTCTTTTTCTTTTTTATCCTCACCTGAGGATATTTTTGCATTCATCTTCAGATAGAGCAAGGGGCGGGGGGGAGAGAAACATCAATGTGAGAGAGACGCATCAAGTGGCTGCCACCCACACAACCCAACTGGGGCCGGGGACAAACTGCAACCAAGGTACGTGCCCTTAGTAGGAACCAGACCCGGGTCTCTCTGGACTGCGGGCCGACACTAACCGATGAGCCAAACAGGCCAGGGCGGGCTTGTTTTTCTTGGCATGGAATAATTTGGCAGTAGGTAGTAAGGTAGAAGGAAGAAAGGAAAGAGGAATACTAATAGAGCAGTCAGAAAATAAAAGAATTATACTTCATCCAGCATCAGAACAGTTCATAATACTTTACATGTGCTCATGAAGTATCTCTTAGATGGTCGGAGGTACAGCTACAATAATTATGGAGAAAATAATCATAATAAGACTACCACTTACTTAGAGATTCCTATTTGCCAGGCAATGGGCAAACATCCTCTTTATTGGAAAAAGATGTTTTTATTGACTTCAGAGAAAGAGGAAGGGAGAGGGAGAGAGAGAAATATTGATGTACAAGGGAAACATTGAGTAACCTCCCGCACTGAACCCGAAACCTGGGTATGTGCCCCGACTGGGAATCAAACTGGCGACCTTTGGATGCATAGGACAATGCTCAACCAACTGAGCCACATCAGCCAGGGCGCTCTTCACATCATCACAATCACCACAGAGGTCACAGACAGTAGTGACGGACCTGACTTTGAAACCAGGTCAGTCTGACCCTTAATCACCAAGTTACTCTTCAAGGCACAGGACATATCTTGATAGCATAAGGGATGTTAGAGATTTTAAGGTGTAGATTTAATTAATTTGCCTAAAAAATGGTTTGTATGCTATAAAGTTTGATAATGGCTATTTTTGCAGTTGGAAGTTTATTTAACTTTATGCTTGGAAAGGTCCTTCATGCTATTAGAATCTGTTTCTGAAGTTTTATCCTTTCAGTAATAGCTGATAATGGTCAGGAACAGAACAGAGCATGATTACTTACTCAATATTGATTTCATTCCATGACCATATTAAAACATGGTTCTAGTGACTAATGTTATAGTTGAGCTAGTACTTCAGCTATAACTTCCTATTTTCACAATGTCTTCTAGGTTCAACCTTTCCAGGCTGTTTTCCACCACAATTTTTGGGAATTAAAATAAGACTCCTGTTTTTATCACATAGGCAATTTTTCAAAAGGAGAGGTCCACTCCCTTTTGGTGAAGAAAAGGCCAATTCTCCCCCACTGTAATTTGATTTACTTCCACTAAAATTCCCAGAGGTATAACTCTACACTAAGAGCAGGAATCTGATTGTAAACATCATCTTTAGTCAATCTGACAACCTACTTGAGTCCCACTGATCTAGGTTGGAATTCTGGCCCAATACTCACTAGCTGTTAACTGTGGAAAATCTCCAGAGCCTCTGTCCTCTCCTACGTAAGATGGACTGACAGTGGTCCTCCCACACAGGCTGACGCGCGGACCGACAGGGTAACATATTGAAAGCTCGTGCGCATAGCAGGTACCCAAGAAATGTTAACTGCAGCAAGTATTACATTATTTAGGGGCGCCTACTCTGCAAATATTCCTTCTATCAAATCCATGTTCTGCCTACCTCTCAGAGTGTAAGCATTCATAAAGAGAGGAGTACACTGGCTTTTCTTTAGATTCTTACACGGCGGAGGTCCGCTTATGTCCTTTCCATTGATATCACAAACAAACATGTCTTCGGGCTATTTATAGAGGGCAAAAAAGAAAATGAAGAAAGTTTATACAGTATTATTAGAAATGTCCCTTCTTTTGTTTATACACTGGTGGGCAAAAGTAGGTTTACAGTTGTGAGTATGTGCAAGAGTATATTCTTTTATTATTCTTTATTAATTATTGTATTATATTTGTATTGCAACTATAAACCTACTTTTGCCCACACCTGTATATAGTATACACTCGCATGCAGAATGATAATGTTTATGTACCCAGAGTCAACTCATATTTTAAATATTCATATAAACACAGTTTCTCAAAAATTTTACCAATTTCAAGAATAAAAAATATTTTATACTCATGAACGTAATCTCAAGAGAGCTAAAGAAAAATCTGCCTTTAGAATCAGAAGACAAGACTGGTAGAGACTATTTAACATGTATGCAGTGATGTTCCTGTCACTTCATCAATCGAGGTTCTCAACGTAGCCCTGTCATTTCACAACTACACGTCAGCGAGACTATATAAAGAAACCATTATTCTGAGATGGGGGTTATAAATTCATAATAGAAGAGGAAAAATACAGAGTAAAATTTTCTTATCCCGAGATACTTAACTGGCACTCAGAAATGTTCATCTCGACAAGGTATATTATTCTTAAAGCTCTAAGGGAGTGTGCAGAGCCACAGACACTTCCTAGTAATGCACGAGTATTTCTGAATTGTCACTTTCATTTGCCAGGGTTTATTACAAACTACATACTACAGGGTTTATTACAAATGTTTTATTCATGAAGCATTATGCCACAGATAAAAGTTAAGTACTATGTGGTTGTTTTAAATAGATTTGGAGTTAATATCTAGCATTAAAACAAACGAGTCTTCTAAAAATTTTGAAATAAGTTTTATAACTTTAAATTGGAATCATTTTGCTATTATTAAATAAGAATCAGTTTGGTTCTCTTGAGATCAACAATCTGATTATCCAACGAGCCTGATCAAGATGGTGTTATAATGCTGCAAAGTTAGATCCCTTTTATTATATGACTTCGGATTGTGCTATTCACTTTTGCCCTCTAGAGGTTGAATGAGAGTTCAAAACATACTGGTTGCCTGGAAGACACTTACCACCTTAAAAAAACATTTAATAGTTACTCAACAAATGTTTTTTGATTAGTTATTTAAATTATCAAAATATAACCACCCTTCAAAACTAACATTTTTTGTAAAATTAATTCTATTTCATAAAACAACAGTGAAGTAGAGAAGAAAAGGCATTTGGCTTTAAGAAGGATCCCTTTACCATACCTGAATCCGTTCCTTCTGCACTCCTGAAGGAGCAATGTAGATTTCATTGCTAGCAACACAAAATATAGAAATTGGTATTTATTTAACTTTAATGTTCTGCTTTTGCACAAAGAAAAACGTATCTTTGCAGTTCAATCATAAGTCAAGTTATACAAGTATTGGCTGGATTTAATTAATGGTATAGGCTATATAGAAAGAATACCAAATACTCTGATGCCTTTGTAAAGCTGGTGATATTGTAAAATGCTGACCATTGCTTTAGTCTTCTACATTTTCATATATATTTCTTTATATGAGGCAAAATCATTGGTAACCAGGCTTTCTTTTATCTGGTTAGAAAAAATAAAATCTGAAAACATCAGTCTTTAGCATGAATTGTTAAGCCTGAATAAGCAGAGTTTATCCTAGTATTTACGGAATGCAGTTATTCCAAAGTCCAGTCGGGAAAATATGCTCACTAGGAGCAGATATCTGTCTTGCAAGGAATCAGGTTTAATTTTACTGTTTTAAATACTCTTATTATAAAACACGAAGTTCAGAGACCTCTGCTGGACAATTTATTAAATTACATCATTAACATTACACTACTTTTGGGGTGGAACACTATGCTTCCTGTTTGAACCTTATGAAAATGAACCTTATGAAAATATCTGGTAATAAAGTTAAAACAATTACAAAAGTTATAAATATAAACGGCCACATCTGGAGATATCCCTGCAGTGTTATACCCTGCCATTCACAAAGTGCTCTCAAATTTGATCTGGAAATTAAATTTCAAAATCTTCTCTAAATTCTCTGTCCACGCAGCAAAGATTCTTTGGCTCATTTATCAGTCTCAGTGGCTGCCAGAGGGTACTAGAGCTGCCACACACATGCAAATGAAGGGACTACCAGCACACGTGTGCTCCCGCTTCTGCCACCGAGGCATGGCCACAGGGACACCGAATAAATACTGTTTCATAGTAAAAATGAGGATGACAGCCTGTATTGAATCAAGCTGTCAAAGATGCGGTCACTAGTAAACCTAGAGACTTGGAACTGATGAAAATGTAAGGAAGTGGAAGTTCCTTTAATAAATTAAGGTCTAGAAAAGAAATGCCTGAGCTGTGATGTCAATGAAATCCAAAGCAGTAAGCAACTTCCAAACATGTGTTTTCCCAAGTAGCTAGTGCTTTAGAGCTTTGTTGCCTATGAACACCATCCAGTGGCATTCCTCTACAACCAGTGGGAGTGGGCAGGGACTCATACTGTTAAAAAGCGCCCTTTACAACTACCAGGGATCCACAGATTTTGTCCTTGTGTCACATGGAAGGACTCTAGAATCATGCATGGTATGGAGTCCAGGGACCGCCAGTGTGGTAAGGGGTCTGCAGGGCTTATGTGGGAGAAACATATGCAGTCCTGGGAACAGACCCAAGTAAAGTACAAAACAGTCTGCTGGTAAATAAACTCCCTCTACAAAGTAGGAAAATCCAGGGTATGTATTCTGTTTATTCAAGCGATTTGGTGTGCCAAATCTGATTTCAGAACTGCCTTTGTAAAATGGAAATTAGTTTAGACTTTGATCAAGTTTGGATAATTAAAAGAATAGATAAATAGGTTTTAGAAAAAATATATTTATACCTACAAAGGAGGAGACATCTGGATAAAAATACAAAGATGACAGAGCTTTTATTTTAGGAGGGAAACATGCCAAAGACTGAAAGTGAAGTATTTATTTGGTGCTTTAAGCCACAAACAAAAAGCATTTTAAATTTCAAGGTATTAAGTTTTGGAATTTATTTCTCTAACTCCCTGCTCTTTCACAAGTGGTAAGCAGATGGACAAAAGCCAAGAGTTCATAATACATCTAGTTTATTTTTACTGTAGAGTCATTTAAATCTTACTATGCCTTAATTATCCTGTCTATATATGGGTTTATTAATTTTAACTCTAACAGCATGCAGCAGGATTAGCATCTCTAACATACAATTCTACAGCCGTGAAGACAAGAAATGGTAAACGTGAAAGGTAGGGACCCAACCTAAACACAATGGCTGCTGAGTATCCTAGGAGTGCCTTGATTAGTGTCATTTTCTGGGTCCTCCGTTTCCTCCTTCTGACTGAACTCTTATGTGTCTTAAGCTGTCTTTTATATACATCTTTTGGTATCACACACATCAGTAGCATACTCTGAAATAGTATCAGCCAAACCTTGGAATCAGTAAAAAATTTTATATTCTCAAAGAGCTTATTGTCAGTATTATTCTGGTAACATAATCTATTGGTTTGTATTTCATTCTGAATTTGTTTGTTCTAAGCATCAAAGAAAATCAAATTTTCACTAATAACATGAGAATAATATTGCTGATAAAATAGTTGATGTGGGCGTATAAAGTCATTTAAGTACTGGGAAAAAAAATTCAACATTTTAGTACAAATTACTTATTTTACTATGTAAAGCACAAAATTAGTAAGATTCCAAATACAGTGCCATAAAACTGTGGCTCTTCCCACTTGTGACCTCCAGGAGGCGCTCCTCACCCATTAAGACTAAGGCAAAAGCATTTTACACATGATGCAACTTTCCTGTAAACTGATTGTAGTGCTATAAAAGCCATTTAATTTTAAAAGGTGCCCGTGAGTGTTTTAGGGTGACCACACAATTCAGTATTTGAATTAGTAAAATTCGTAGAAAGAACAGTCTTTAATGTCTTTATTTTCAAAAATATCCTCTCTTGAGATTTGCAATGACCCCTTATCTGCATTCTATTTTTAACTTTACTATCTTTGTTTAAGTTAAAGTTAAAAATGTTTAAGTTAAAAATGGTTATTTTAATTCAGTTTGGTAGAAAACTATTTTGTACATACATAAACTACTTCTGCATATGCAAATAAAAAGTGGTTAACTAACAGCAATGTTTAGAATAATGCAGCTGAGAAATTAATACTGGGACTAAACTCCTAAATGCATAAAATAACAACAGACGTTGTTTTCCTAGGACTTTGCTGCAAACAGGTCATCTTAAAAGTTTTGGCAAAATTATCTGAAAGCCTGCACCAGGCTGGCTTGACCTGTTAGCACCGGGTTGATGGTAAGAAAAGAGGCATGGATGAAAGTGATCCCTACACACATAACTGTGAAAGTTGTTGACTAAGGCTCCTCCTGTCATTTCCCACAGTTCAGTTGATATTACATGAGTTACTTGGTAATCTGAATCAGATGAAATTACAATGGCATTGTCTTGAGGTATGCCATGAACTCCCTTTTGTTCAAAATGTCCTGATTACATCCAATTTTGTTAAAGAAAGCGAATTAGGACCAAGAAATAAATAACTCAGTTTAACAGTGTCTCCAAACAATATTATTGCTCACCATTTCGGGAGGAAAAAACACTTGAGGGAATGAGATCCCACAACCTCTGTCTTCACTGTCAGGAAGCCTTGTCTTCATCCTCTTGGAGGAAAGACACTGAATAAATCTAATGACGTGTTAAATACTAGTCATTCCTTCTGTTTCTAGTTCCGTACCTCTTGTTTTGTCCTCTCTGAGCAATATGGACCAGCAGGTGCTATGCCCATTAATGACACACGTGCTCAGACAGGCACATTGTCTTTCTTTTGACCCACTAAAATGTTATTTTAGGATTTCTATGGTTAGTAATCTGTATTTAAGTGATTTTAAAACATGTATCTGAAACTTTGAAGCAAATCCCATCTACCTTTGCAATTCCAGACATATGAGCAGATTTGGCAACATGTTATTTACCTTTGATACTCCAAAGACTGAGGACCAAATTATCCTAATTAGAAACCATGTTCCTGAATCCTTAGCTATTTATTATATTTGCAACTTTGGCATACTTGTTCCACTCTGTTATGCAAATACCTGTTTCTCCAAGTAGAAACAAAATACCTTCGGCATCAGTATATAAAACAGCATTAGTTGTTCTTTGGACATAATGCACGCTAGGTTCTCCAAGGTCTACTTCTGTGGAGAATTCCCAGAAATGAAAACTTACCCATGCTTCAAGCTAATTCCTCCTCCAGTCCCAGTGACCCAGCCCAAGTGGTAAAACTGTTTGCAAAGCTCTGGGATCAGGTATCTTGGATGTTCCTTGTCCTTAAAAAGAGGACAATGATTTTAAAAATAGACATTTTATCAAGTGATTATTCTAGTTGATATCTCTATTAAGAAGCCAGTTTAAGAAAATCACCACAGAGAGGATACTGTGAGGAAGAAAACTATTATAAAACATACTTTGTTTTTACTATTTGGAAAGTGGATCTACTATATTATTTGGCAACCTGGAATTATTCCTTATAAGGCCTGCAGTCCAATACTAGAGCAGGCTGGAAGAACAGGGTGGGGAACTGCACAGTATATATTACAAAGTGTCCATTGCAATGGCTGAAATAAAATAAAATCTAGTGTTGAAAGAAACATGCTTGTCATCTAGCAAATTTCTTTACACAAAACAATTCATTAAGGCCCTATATATATATATATGATATACTATAATAGCTATTTGCTCATATTCTGTGTTTTGATTCAATTTTTTTATTCTAAAAATGCCCAGTCTTTTTACCATAGTGATTGTATTTTCTCTTATTATAAAAGAAATATACACCCATTATGAAATATAAAGTCAAGAAAATAACATAAAAAGCACTCACTCAGAAATAATCACATTTCTGTGAAGATAGGTGTGTACAGGAACACAAATATGTATGTTGGGATAAACACTGAGCCTTATTTATTTACTTTTATTGAGGTATAACTGACATACAACATATTCATTTCAGGTGTATAACAGTTATTTGATATTTCTACATACTGTGAAATGATCAACACAATAAGTCTAGTTAAAATAAGCCTTATTTTAATATAAGTCTAATCATTACTTCTTCAGGAAAAAAACACCAATGTTTTCCCTTCTTTTCAAAAGTTAAAATTAATGAAAACAAAAATAAAGAAATACAATGAACTCTACTTTTGGAAATACCAATATACAGTCCTAACTTTGAAAACAACTAAAATGCTGAATAAGTTATTTTTTTAAATATTTAAATAAATTACTGAGCTGGCAAGAAAGTAAGGTCTCACAGGGGCCATAAAAGAAATGTAAGTCTACCTGGAAGGGAAGTGAGCTCCCAAGCCATCATTCCCCTGAAGGTATTTGCAAAACTCTGGTAACCTTGAGCTTCAATTTTGATAGCTGTGCAAGCTATTGGAAACACAGATACAACCTAGGGCGTGCTCAAAATGGGGCATCTAACAGAGAATCCCTATATACTTATTCCCTCCAGCTAAAACAGACCAGCCGTGCAGACAAACACAGCAAGAAAGACTGCCTCTAAAAATCTTGGCACTGGCTAAAACAGAAGAAACATCTTTCAGTTCAAACAAATTATTATTTTACAAACTGAATTTTCAGCTACATCACTAGACTTCTGAAATCATGGTGTTTTTCCAAATTCACTGTTAGTATTTGAAATATACATTTTATTTTAGGTAAGTATTATGAATGATAATTTGATAGCGTAGATTCAAAATATAAAATTAAGAACATGACTTAAATTTTTTTTTAAGTTCTGATTCAACATATAGTTTAGGGGTTAATGGACATAAAGTCAAATCCATATTATACAATTTTTTGCTTATGTGATTTTGAGTTTCGGTTTACTGATCCATAAAATGAGAACATTTGGATTAAAATGAGATGTAATGAATATAAAGCATCAGCACAATGTGTGACACAGTCAATTTTAGTTTCCTTCCCATTTTAATGAGTTAAAAATTCTTGAATTAAAATGGATAGTAAAGCTATGTTAGTTTTTCTTTTATCTGTCCTTATGAAATTTAGCCAAGTTATCCATACCCTGTGTAATTTGCTATTTCCTTTTTTAGGGATATAAATGATGTTTTAATTATATGGTAAAGTACAGCTAATGAGAAGACTCCTGTAGTTTTCCAATCCTTAAAACCACCACTTTGCACAGCAAGTTGCCATCATTATAGAAAATGGTCTGTTATTAAGGGTCTCCCTTTGCCCTTTTGTCTTTTCCAGTACTGAGGTATTATAGCAATTAGCCAGCTTCGTCCTACAGGAATAACTATGATAAGGCAGCTGTTGTCCAAAACCACAAAATTACAGTTTCTAGAAGAATAATCACTTAGCAGCAGGAACCAACAGAGACATATTTGGCAAAAATGCAGTCATTTAAGTTGTCCAGAGTAAAAATCAGAATATATATTTTTAATAAGAATTGACAGGAAGGAAGGGTTTAGTTAGTATTTAGTTTTCCTGTGAATGTCAATGAAAGTACTTGTCTATTATTGTTACATCTGGTTTTCAATTAGAATAAGAATTTTGAAAGACGTATCTAAAGATGAATTACAATCAACTGCTTACGGTAGAGGTTCTACCCTAAGTGAGGGAGAAATGTAATGGTATACAGTATTTTGTATATACTAAAGACATTAAAGTCAAATTTTTAAATTGGTATTTTATTTTTCCAATTTTTCAATCTAGCTGTTTAAGGAAATCAGTCTCAATTGTCACTGAGATACTTGCTGACAGCCAGCCGTGGCTTGAACCCCTTACTCTAACGTTTGTTTCAATTTAAGCATTGTAGAGGCTTGCAATGCTCAGATTTTCCTGGGGACTCCTATACACACATAAAATAGACGTGTGTCAAAGATATCATTTAACCTATCAATTAACGAGGGAACCAGAAAGATGTTATAATTGGTAGCAAAGAAAATTCAAAACAAACCCATGCACATATAAGTAATCAGGAATCCTGGATTTATAAATAAAGCAAAAACAGGACAATACCCACCAGGCAGCAATACATTGAATGCCCATAATACAACTTTCATTTCTATGAACAATAATCATCAGCACTGCTGTCAGTATTGTACAATTCAGAGTTGTAAACTGGTTCAAACATATTCCCAAGACAGCCAGTAATCTTTTCTGCTTATTCCAGTCTTTCACAATTTCTCCTGAAGGTGGCCTCAGGAAGGGACTTGATGCAGACACAGCAAAGCTGTCAGCATTGTTTCTGTCTCTGAGTTGTGTTCCTTTCTACACATCTGTTTCATTCTTCTCTCTGAGTATTGGTTTTCTTTGCAACTTCACCTCCACACAAAGCCATTTGACACAATTTCAAACACTTTCACTTTTTCACCTAAGTATCCCAGTTCTAATCAACCTAGTTGTGGACATCAACCACCAGATGGCTCTTAAATGATCCCCTGGTGTTCACACCATGGTATATAGTTCCTCTCCACATTGTACCAGGGCTGGTCTATATGACCAACAGACTACTGCAGAAGTGGTAGAATGTCACTTCTGGGATTAGGCTATAAAACTATAGCTTCCATCTTGGTTGCCTTCTCTCTCTTTTGGATCACTAGGTGTGGGGAAAGCCAGCTACCCAAGATACCAGACAGCCTATGCAGAGGCCACATGGTGAAGAACTGAGGCCTGCGGCCAACAATGGTGAGGAACAAAGGCCTGCCCACTACATGAGTGGGCTTGGAAGGTCACTCCAGCTGCGGTCAAGACTTGAGATCAATTGTAGCTCCAGCTGACAGCTTACTACCAACTCATTAGACTCTGAGCCAGAACCTCAAGCTAACCTCTCTTGGATTCCTAATCCTCAGAAACTGAGACAGCAAATGCTCCTGTTTTAAGTTTGGGGATACTTGTTATGCAGCAATAGATAACTAAGACATTTTCTTGCCAGCCATTTTCTTACATTTTTTCTTTGCCCTGTTATTGCTCATGCTGGATCTCCAAGGATCCCGACACTAGCTGTCAGACTCTTGCTTCTTAGCCTTTACACCCCTACTCACTTCATCTCTGATTCCTTCTCTCATTGTAGCAAGAATCACTCCTTCCCTGGACTCTGTGCCACAGCATTTGCTCTATGTACCTTTCTTTTGGTATTAATTATGGAGCCCTCTCATTCATCCCGCAACTTTTACTAAAGGCCCCAAAGAAATTAATATAAGATAAAGTCCTTACTCTTCAGGATATTACAAGCTAGTAAAGAACACGTATGAAGTGACAAAGCAACACACAATATAAGATGGTCCTGGGCATTATGGGAGCAGAAGCTATGAGTAGAAGGGAGCAGGAGTTAGGAAAAGTTTCATAGAGAAAGAGATGGTTGCACTAAGTCTTAATGGACAGTGGGAACGTGCTGGGTAGGTAACGAGGAGAAAGAACACTTCAGTCAGAGAGAACACTCAGTAGTTGGAACCAATTATAAATTAGGTTCTGTGGGATGGAGGGGAGAGGGAGGCAGAGTATAGAAGGTATATCATGTCATACACAGGAGTTTGGACTTGACTTTATAAGTAGTTGAAAATCACAGCGCAGTTATAGATAGATGACATGATCAGATCTTGGGTTTGGAACATTTCTACAGGGGCACTGGAGAGAAGAGGATGAAGGGTGGTGACCAAGGAAACAAAAGATCAGACCAGTAAGGAGGCTGGGAAAAGAGTTTCAAAAGGCAAGGGAGTGATGATGGAGATGGACTTGGAAGGTATTTTAGAAGTTTTTTTTTTTTTTTTTTTTTTTTTTAAAAAGATGAACTTTGGGTGAGAAAAATGAAGAAAAGGAAGGCTTCAAGGACTTCCAAGTTTTGAGTTAGCTGAGCAGCTAAGGGGATAGTGATGCCATTCACTGGGATGTGAGCCATAAATATTTATTGAGTACTTATTGGCAAAGCACTTTCTGGGAATTCAGCTACAAACAAGATAAAGTCCCTGCTCTAAAGGAATTTATACAGCAGGGGGTAGTTGTATAAACAGAAGAATAAATAAATAAATTGCAGTAACTGTAATAAGGAAACCAACAAGGGACTTAAGAGAAAAATAGTGAAGATCAACTTTGATTAAGAAAGGTTTCTCTGAGCAGGCAACATTTAAGGCCTAATACATATGGAAAAACCAGTGTGTGATGGATGAGTGTGTGTGCACAAGCAAGCTTTTGTGCTAGGGAGAGGCAAGTACTCCTGGCAGAGAAACAGGTGTGAAGGCCCTAGAGTGAGAAAGTGCTCGAGGAGTTTAAGGAATAAGAAACTAGTTGTCTAGAGCAGAGTGATTAAGAAGTGTTGAGAGTGGCAGACTATGAGTTTGTAGGGCCAGATCATAGGGGCTTCAAAGCCATGCTGATGAGAACAATCCTGCCAGAAAGGGGATTGACTCTCGGTAAGAGAGACAGGGAAAGGGAGAGAAACAACTTTAGAAGGTGAGAGGGGATGGAGATCCTCAGCACAAGTGGAAGGACTGACCTTCCATTTTGCACAATTAGAAGATGATGGCTTCATATTTAGGCAGATCTGCAGGTAGGAAATACATATCTAAGACTTCTGTTTTCTTAAGTATAAACAAAGTAGTCATCAGCTGAGTGAGAGTGTGAGAAAAGGGAGAGTACAGATAACAGAATAAAAGGTATCAACTAGTCATCTCCGGGAGTGAGATAGCGAACTACTAGGGAAACACAAGAAGGCTGTTGGGCAGTGTTAAGTGTCAATTTGAGATTAAAATCTTGACTATGACATGAGGCCAGTCAGCACAGTTGTGTAATTTTCTCTAGCAGTGTTCAGCTGCACAGTGCAATCACAAACAGCGTGGATAGTAGGGTTCATTTTGGGTCGGCGTTTTGCAGGGCAACCATATTTGTAAATAAGGTCAACCATGACCTTAAGTAACAATTGTTTCAATGAGTTGGGTATAAAAGCCAGATGAAAATGGATTAAGAAGTGAATGAAACTTAGAGGCAGAGAATTCTAAGGACTCTTTCAGTAGTGTTGCTATGAGGGGCTGGACAGGGAAATAGAAGGGGAAAATGGTTAATAAAAAGTTTTCATGTTAGGAGGTAAAATTAGGGAAAGAGAGATTAAAAGTATAGGCGAGCAAAAGCCTAACTAATAGGTTGGTATTTGTGGAGACAGCATCTGGAATTAGGAAAATAGGGAAGTATATACCTTAGACAGGAGGAAGAGTAAAGATGCAAGTAAATACAGGGTGGGGCAAAGGTAGGTTTACAGTTGTTCAGATGGAAAATACAGTAATTAATAAATAATAATACAAGAATAAACTGTTTCACCTGCTCACAACTGTAAATCTACTTTTGCTCCACCCTGTATGTAATAATACAATTAATATAAAGAACAGCTACCGTTTTTTAAGTGTTTATTTTGGCACTATTCTTCAGGCTTTATATAGACTTTACTTCATCCTTATAATAACTATTATACTAAGAAAGATTAATTTGTCCCAGACCACCCAGGTAGAGAAGCAAGGTTTGAACCCAGGCATTCTAAATATCTAGTCCTTAACCTTTTACATTATAACCTTTTACCTTATAATGTAGTAGAATGAGGAAGAAATTGAAGTTGATAAGTTCACACCTAATCCATTTTCTTAGCAATTCTGGAGGCAATGTTATCTGTAAAACAGGCTTGGGGTAGAGGATGAGGGTAGTGGTGAGGTTTCAGGACAGCCACTCAGAGGAATGTGAAAGGAAGCTCCCTGGAGGCCTACCTGAACTGAGGTGCTCAGAGGCTAGCAGGACACCATACTTGTAGAGACACTTAAGGGGTTCAGAACTGGCCTGCCCAAGATGTGCCATTTTGACATGTAAATTATTTTGAGTGGAAGGCAATCTTCTGAGACCCTGCAGACTCAGGAGAAACATTTACCTCACTCTTAACGAATTTACATTTGAGGCCTTGCCCATAAGAATTATTACCAGAAATAACTTTTCATGACCTATCTCTAAGGCAGGGCAAACTTCTAATTACTTAATATGTGCTCTTCTTATCATTCTAAGAATGACCCTCCTCTCCACTGTGAAGCTCCAAGGCATCTTACCTTAGCTCAGAAAGTCAAATATACCTCATTTTACCTTTGTGTCTGAACCTCTCATGTATGTGGGGGGGGGGGTGTCTCTGGCTCTCTTATATATATGGGGTTCCCTTAAGTACTATGCCATTAAATGTGGTTATTTTCTTTTATTTACCTGCCTCATGTTTAATTATCAGACCAGCCAAAAAAACCTAGAAGGACAGAAGAAAACTTCATCCTCCCACACAAGTATTTCACAAAATCTCTGACTGGTTATCACTTTTTAATTGGAATCCTCAGCTCTAAGAAAGAATAACGGGAGAGGAATAAGGGGGCTAAGTTTATCTCTGCCTCGTGAGCAAAGCTTCTCACATTGTCCTGAAATTGTCCAGTACTCCTCTAGACCCTAGGCCGTTTGTCTTAATCATCACTGTATCAAAGAGCATGCAGGTACTCCATAAAATTGTTGGTGTGTGTAAGTAAATGAAAAGCATATGCAGCCCCAGGGAGGGTTTTCGTGACTTCGGCTTAAGGAAGAATGGTTTCTACGATCGACCCACAATCAATCTAAACTGAGGCAGGAAAACCACTCAGGCACAGCTGCAGTCCAGGCGAACGTTTCCCGTGTGCCCAGGGTGTGCATTGAAACGTCGGGCTGGTCGCCGGTGCGCAAACGTAAGCTCGAGAGCTCAGCCGGCTCCAGTTCCACGCCAGGGCCGCACGCTCCCTTGATTGGCCTGTTTTCCTGATAAGAAGTTGCTTTAACACACACTTAAGACATCCAACGCTCCGCTCCGTTATTTTTTCTTTTTTCCAACCTTTGATACCCAGCTCCCACGATAGGATAACTCAAACCCGGGCGGACCTTCACGTGGCGCGCTGGAGTCGCGTGGGGTTTGCGTCCCGGCCGCCCGGAAGCCTCCGCCGCATCCCCCAGCGCTCAGCCTCCTTGGAATTAATGGCACCGGCGGCCGCGCCCCTACCTGCGCGTCGCATCGCCGCAAGCAACAGTGTCCCTCCGGAGCAGGACAGCCAGACATGGCCCGTACTAGGGGGACATTCGAAGGGCTTTGCTCCGGCGATCCGTTGGGGCTCACAAGCTGAGACCTTAAATATAATCAGGCAGAGCTGAGAACAGCCCAAGGGCGGGGCGGATAAAGCGAAGGGCGGGCCTGGGAAGGCCTCGCTGACTGGACAGCCAGTGGCGCAGCCACCTGGCTGGGAGGCGGGGCCAGTGATCTTGGAGGTGGGGCTAGGAGGCTTGGATGGAGACTCAAAAGGCACGACTGCGCTTAGGGGGCGTGGCTAACCGGGTGAGAGGCGGGGCCTGGGAGGGGCTTGATGACAGAGCGATCAGGCTGTGCTGCGGGCATCCCTTGGAAAGACCGGGAAGATGGCGGCCTCCTGGAGGCTAGGCTGTGACCTGGGGATGCTGCGTTCTCTCATGGGCTTTGGCGGCCGGCGAGGCCTGGGGCTCGTTAAGGGAGCTGCTGGGTGGTCCGCCGCCCGCGGAGCTAGTTGGAGATGGTTTCACAGCACGCAGTGGCTGCGGGGTGAGTGACCGGGGCTCACTCAGCTTCTCTGTAACTGAACACTGGGCCTAGGTCAGGGGCTTTTTGACTGAGGGCCTGCATTTGGGTGTGGAGGTACGCAGTACTCCCTGTTCCCATTGCCTTTTCTCGGGAAGGGGTCCGCTGACTTGGTCTCCTGATAAGTGCATGGCCCGAAGGGCTTTCTTGGGAGCTGGGAGACCTTGACTCCGTCTCTGGCCCCCTCGTTGGTATGGCTTCTCTTGACCTTGCCTTGGTATTTATTTTTGTGTGTGAGGCGCAGAGTTAGGTCCTAAACGTCCTTCTCTCGGGCCCCGTCGCATTCAGGTCTCAGGTTCCTTTAGGGTTGTCTAGCATCACTGTCAGGGAAAAGCTGCCTTAGGTGGCTGAGATTCAAAAGCCACTTTTGGCTGTTCCCATTCATTCTTTTGGCCTTTCTCTAGTGAGAGATCTTTTCTTCTAGGCCACTCGGGGTGCCTTACATAACAACTAGTAAAGGACCTAATTTGTAAATGCCTACCGCATCACAGACATAGGCCCGGCAAAACATGAGCATGAAAGAGTGGAAAGTTAGGAGGGAAAATCATACCATGAAGGTTATTACAGGAAATCAGCATTTCGTAATTATATTGACACAATTAGCAATTCTTCCAGTATTTAACAGTAGGTAATGTAGCATGTGGGGCATTATTTTTCTTTGCACGCGGATGAGGCGGGGTCATAGGACTAACACTTTTTGAATGTGACATATTATCTGCCAATCATTCTGGTACTGCGCAGAATGAATTTTTTTTTCCTATTGTATAACTTTTATTTATTTATTTATTTTAATTAATTTATTTTTTTTGTTACAGATGTTTCTCTTTTTTTACCCCATTGACACCCTCCTCCCCATCCCACCCCCCATCCCCAGCTTTGTTGTCCATGTCCATTGGTTATGCATACATGCATATAAGTTGTGTGGTTTATCTCTTACCACCCCCACCCCAACCCTCTTCTGAGGGTTGTCAGTCTGTACCCTACTTCCGTGTTTCTGGGTCTACCCTATTCCTCAGACTGTTATATTCATTATATTCCATATATAAATGAGATCATGTGGTATTTGTCTTTTTCTGCTTGGCTTGTTTCATTTAGGATAATACTTTTCAGGTCCCTCCATGTCATCTCAAAGGATAAGAGATCTTTCTTACAGCTGCATAGTACTCCATTGTGTATATGTACCACAGCTTTTTTATCCATTCATCTACTGATGGACACCTGGGCTGTTTCCAGATCTTAGCTATTGTAAATAGTGCTGCTACAAACATGGGGGTACATGCATTCTTTCTGATTGGTGTTTCAGGCTTCTTAGTGTATATTCCTAGAAGCGGGATCACTGGGTCAAATGGCAGTTCAATTTTTAATTTTTTTGAGGTAACACCATATTGTTTTCCATAGTGGCTGCACCAGTCTGCATTCCCACCAGCAGTGCACTAGAGTCCCCTTTTCTCCACACCCTCGCCAACACTTGTTTGATGATTTGTTGGTGGCGGCCACAGAATGAATTTTATTATAAAAAATTAGGTGCATATTCTGGGCTATCAAGGCTCAAAAAAAAAGTTTTACAAAGTCCCACAGTAAGGTGAGTGCACTGAGATCTCTGAAAATTTGGTGATGGGAACAATTTATTTCAGTTTCTTCAGGTTACTGTTTCATAAAATACTTGGAACAGTGATTCTTTAACTATGTATAGAATTCCTTTTCCTCCCAGTTTATTAGTTTATTGAGTACTGAACTTTTCCTACAGCTCCCAGAGATTGTCTGGGGTGGAATTCAACAATCTGCATTTTACAGTCTTAGATGAGTTTTGGTGTTTTATGTTGGTGTTTGTTGGGCTACACTTTAAGACTCTCTGCCTTAGAAAATCTTGGACAAGTAAAAGCCCATGGTGGAAATAAATATGTTTGTAAAACACATTTTTTTTTTGAGACTATTGGAATGTTCTAGATCCTCTCTACAGAGAAAGGGGTATATGTTCATGCAGGCTCAGAGGTTTTCCTTAGAACCAGTTTAAGGAGCCATGCCTTTAGAAACTCACTTAGGCAATCCTTATCTGATGTATGGTGACATCGTGCCCTCTCCCATCCCGCCACACCATGAACAGTGTATCTAACTTTGCTTGAACATCATCTGTAAGGAAGAGGACACTACATCCCAAGGAAGTGGTATTACTTTCCTAGTGCCTCCCTCTTTCACATATAAAGACCCTTGTGATTACATTGGGTCCACATGGATAATGTAGAGTGCTTTCCCCATCTCAGGGTCACTTGTTTGGCAACTTAAAAAGGTTCCTTTTTAAACCTTATTCTCCCTTGCCATGTTCATATTCACAGGTTCTGGGTGTTAGAACCTGGCCATCTTTCACGGAGTGGTGAGAGGCTGTGGACATTATTCTGCCTACGACAGAAGCTGCTTTTGTTGTTGGGTAGCTCTAAGTTATTTGAAAGTTTTGGATGCCCTGGCCGGTTTTGCTTGGTGGTTAGAGCGTTGGCCTGTGGTCCACAGAGACCAGGGTTTGGTTACTGCTAAGGGCCCGTACCTCCGTTGCTGTTTGTCCCCGGCCCTGGTTGGGTCGTGTGGGGGGCAACCACTCTATGTGTCCCTTTCACGTCGATGTTTCTTTCTCTCTCTCTCTCTTCCTCTCTCTCCCTCCCATTCTATCTGAACAAAAAATGGAAAAATGTCCTTGAGTGAGAATAAAATAAAAAAGTTTTGGATTTTTTTTTCCCTAATACTGAGCCAGAATTTGTCTCCTACCTTTTCACCTACAAGTTTTTGTTTTGCCATGCTCTAGAGATGCATAGACATTATTCTGAATAGACCTTATCCTTTAGGAGTGTATAGTCTGCTTGGGGAGATAAACAATAATAGCATGATTTCAATAGTGTGTGTAGTGAGCTCTGAGGGGTAAGTTCAGAATAATAGGGGTATACAAAAGAAGGCTTCCTAGAGGTGGCAGCCTTCCCAGGCTAAAAGATCAGCAGATACAAAGGCCCAGAGGCCAGATGTGGTATTTACATAAGTAACATAGCCTCTATAAACAGTTTTTCAAAGTAGTCTAGGCAGTTAATTTTGAAGTTTCCATTGCTGCCCTTTCAGACTAAATGGCATGATTTGGAACTTAATTAATTAATAACTAAGATGTTAATAATACTGGTTTTAAGTTCTTACTGAGGAATAACATATTGAGTTTAAAATAACATCTGAGGAGAAAAGTAAATGAAGTTCAGCCTTTGTAGTGCTTTGCTTAATATATAGCTACAGGCCTGGTATTATGGATGTTAAATAAACATCTAGGAAAGCTAAAAATCCAGAAAGTTATAAAAGGACACAGAGGTCCACAGTAGGATTGCAAATTGGCAGCCAGTGAATTGACCTCCATCATTTTAGAAGAAAATTAAATTTATTGACAACATTTAAAAACTAGAAACTTTACATAAACATCTAGATTTTTGTCTTCTCTTGAAATTTTAAATTTAGGGTCTATATAGTGACAGTTGGTTAGGACTGAGTAATTATTGTTCTCTTTAGGTAGAAAATTACTTCCTAGTTTACCACTATATCCTGTACTCTCTTGCCTCCCCAGTCAGCAAGGCTGTATATGCCTGGGTATATGTCATCACCTCTAGTTGTCATTCTTTTCTTGTCTCTCAATCTGTGTAGAAAGCAGAAAACAAAAGATAGACCAGGAAAAATGGCAGAGAACAGATAGGGTGTGTGTATATAAGGAAGAAAATTTTTACAGATGTAATATGAAAATAAAGCATGTCTAGATTTAAAGAAAAACCTTAAGATGCTGCTAGCCCACTTCTCTCACCTGCTCATTCCCTGTAGGCATCTGAGTTTTAGGCGGCAGTTCTGTGACAGGGACAGATTCTTTGAAAAGAGTTGAGAGTATGGTATTTCTGCCAAAACATGGATACTTGTTTTAGGCCTGATCTTTATTAAGTGCTTCAATGGTGATACTAATGAGACTGATACTGTTCTTTGAATTCTCCTTTAACTGTGGAACCAAACAGAATAGCTGAAGTAAAAATAGGACTTATTAAGGATACAACTGTGCATATATGAAATGCTGCTGGGCCATGGGGGAACTAGGATGATTCTGTCCATTTCTTCTAGGGCTCCCATTACCTGTCTTCTCTCTCATGGTCTGATTTACTTTGTTGTTCTTTGCAAACTTGCCAATCTGTTTACTCATGGCTTTTCTTTCTCTATAATGTCAGCTTGTCTTGCCTTAATGCTGATTCAGGCCCTTATGCCCCATGCTCTTTCAGTTTAGTTCAGGTGGGCACTATCATGTCTGCGATCTAATTCCAGATTTCCTGGAGAGAAGCTGATGACCCATTGTAGGTCAGTCATACACAGAGCACGTAGATGTGATTCTTTCAAAGGCTGCAGTTTGGACATTTTCTTTTTAAAAAGGAGGTATGAGTTGGGAATCACTGATTAACATGTCTGTTACTATGACAATCTAATTAAAGTAGAACAGTAGTAAAGTGCTTCTTCAGTTTAATTGTTCTAAGGTAAGTAGTGGCTAAGTATGATCACCTAACCAAAGTAAATCTGGGCTAGTCAAGGTTGAGAGATGTGTGACCATCTAAGGAAAATTGGAAGGGAATAAATGAGATCTTAGTAGAAGCAGCAGTAGGAGAAACTAATAAAATTTGGATTATCAGGAAGTACATAGTACATGTTCTCATTGCTTGAAAACATCTCATTCTGTATATGAAAGTGGGACATTGCAAGTAGCCATCACATGATAGAGCATTCACTGTTTGCCAGGCATCGTTTTAGATTCTTCACTTGCATGACTTCTAATCATCTTCAGAACCCTAAAAGGATTAGTTGTGTTTTGCAGGTGAAGAAATAGAGACTCAGTGAGGTTTAGCTGTTTACCCAACGTTATAAGTGGATGTGTACTTTGGAACTATGCACATGATAATATCCAGAGGAAGAAAAGG